AAAACAAACTTTTTTAAAAGTATTTTTATTTTTTTATTTTTTTAAAATGAAATAATTTTATGGCATATAAAGAAATATTTGCATTGAAATAATTGAAGCATTCACAATTTTCAGCAATCTTTCAATAATAATGATAGCAACAGATAGATAGATAGATAGACAGATAGATAGATAGATAGACAGATAGATAGATAGATAGATGGAATTATCATTGTACGTTTGGATGAATTTGAAAATAATTCATAAACACAGATAGATTTTTAATCTAATCGATCAAAATTTTTCTCTAAAATGTAAAATAATCTAATTTTTTTGGCGCGCGCGCATTTTATTTTTATTTAGTAAAAATTATTACTTTGCATCAAACTTGGCAAATTATTCTTTACAAATCAGTTTTGTAATAAATTTACATTTTTTCTTTCAAAAATTTTTCTTCTTTAAATATTCTAAAATAAAGCAGTCGATCAAGTCATATAAGTAGTTTAGTAAAGAAATAACATCAGTGCTTGATACGTCGTCATTCGTTTTAACCGTTGGAATTTACCTTTGCTTTGATGAAAACAACTAGTTTTGTTATTGCTTTGTTCATTTGATACATTATTTCTTCACGTAATTCACTACAATTTCACGCCAAAATTCACGTATTTATTTAATATAAATAGCAATCAGAACAAATTTTATTTTTGCAATAATAAAAATAATTTACATTTGAAAATAAAATGTTGCAGACTGAATATTTAAAAAGAAATCAAATAAAATAAAGAAATGACAAATAATAAATTAATTATAATTTGCAGATAAAAATAATAAAAGTACAAAGAAGAATATTTAAAAAATTAAAATATAATTTATTATAAAAAATGAAAAATAAATTTGATGATAATAATATATTTGGGATAAAATTTTACAATTTATCATTCTTTATTTAGTTATTTTACAATTTTATGGCAATAATTTAGATATTTTTTAGAGATAAAATAAAATACAATTATAAAAAATAAAGGTCAAACATGGAGAAAAAATTTTTTCATCGTCCACAAATTTTTCATCAATTTCAAAATAAAAATAAGTTAATATGTAGTTATGTAATTAAGTAAATAAATAACTAAGTAAGTAAATAAGTAAGTAAGTAAGTAAGTGTTTAAGTATGTAAGTAAATAAGTAAGTAAGTAAAGGTTGATATAATGATGAATGAACGTGATTAAAAATTTCGTGAAGAGGAAAGATTACTGCTACAGCTGTAAGCAACTTTGCCATCTGTGAAATATGATGAATATTTATCGTGGTTTGTTGCAGAGATCGATCGCTGCTAGAAGGCAATTATTTCTATTACAGTTTAATCTATTACAATTGTTTCAATCTTATCTTTCAATATGTATTCTAATTTTACTCTTAACTTATTAATTTTAGTATTTAGCATTTATTTTATTTTCTGTGAATATATTTTTTACTTAATTTATATGATGCAAAAATTCCAATTTACCTTTATTATAAATCAAATTTAATTTTTATTCATTTTGACCTTTCTTTTTTTTAAAGTAAATATTGATTTACTTACTGTTAATGTTATTATCATTTTTGTTAATTTTCATATTTAACATATTTAAATGTACACTTGAATTGTAATATTTTATTGCATGTATGGCATGGCTTTACTTTTATCCTAAATTTAAAATGAAATTTTTTTTGTTGATCATTTTCATTCAGAAGTTATCTACGGTTGAATTTAGACCTTCACATACACGCAAAATTTAAAACCTGAATTGAATATTTAGTTTAATTTGATAAAATAATATTTAATTTGATAAAGTGAATATTTAAATTGAAAACTTTGAATTTATATTATGATGCAAAGTATAATCAGTATAAAAACTAGTACAATATGTAATGGAAAATGACTAACCTGAAAATATTAAAATTGATATTTTATGAGGTTTGAATTTTAGATTCGGGATTTTATGAATTTAACTGCAAAATTACTATTCGAAGTAAATATGTAATCTAACAAACCTGACTTGAGGAATTCTATATCAAATTGAATATGTGACACGAAAAAGATAGTTTCAAATTACACGTTTACTTGTGAAATAACATTTAAATGAATTAAAATTATTAAATTTGGAGAGATTTGTGCGGTAATCATAAAAAACATAAATTTACAAGATTATTTAATAATAACTTGTTATTTGTTATTTCTAGTCTTTATAATTCAAATGCACTAACATTATTTTGCCAAAATTCGAAATAAAAATTATTTTTTTTGCATTTCTTATAATTTTATATTTGGATAATCAATTATTTAGTAAAATAAGCTTGCCTTTGACTGAAAAAATATTATATATATATGTCAGCAAATATAATAAACATTTCCAGCAAAAACACTTAGCTTTAGAAGTGCTAGCAGAAATTGAATGTGTAACTTCAGAAGAGTTAGTTTGCAAGTGTAATCTGAAATTGAATTTTTAATCTAAGAAGTATACTGAAATTAAGATTGTAATTTGAGAAATCGGAAATTGTAACGGAAGTTCGTAAAAGTTTTTCTCAATTATAATTTCGTTCGTTCACTTTTTACTTTACGTCTCGATTTTTATCTGTGAAGTATTTTTAACTTATCACAAAAATCATTCTAAATACTCACTTAAGCTTGTCAAGATTACTTATAATTCTTTTTAAGATATCATAAAAAATTGAAAAACTCAAATCTTTGCAATAATTTTATTTTGCATAAAAATTAGAAAATTTACTTATTTTTCAATTTATATCAAAAATAAATTTAATTCTTTTTCGTGTAAAAATTTAGAAATAATTTTTTGTAATGAAAAAAATAACCAAAAACCAGCAGAATTTGAGCAACTAATTGACATGGTTTTTTTTAAATTTTCACAAAAAAAGATTTGTTTACCAAATAGTTTCAAATTTTTATTGATGACGTCTCATTCAATATATATATATATTCATATATTAGTAAAAATAAATTTTTGTTATCACTGAATTCAAATCATTTAATAAGCTATTTTTTTTAATGCACACGAAAATTGTCTAATATTTGAAATAATAAATTGTAAGCAATTAAATAGTATGAAAAACGTTTGTTGTCAACTTATTCTTAAACAATTTTGTAATAATTATGAAGTAAATTTTGAATACTTTTTTTGGCTTTACTTTCATTAAGCAAGTTTAATTTAAAAATAATATTACTAATAATTTAAATGATTACAAGAGATACACACTTATATTTAAAATATATATTAACAAAAATATACTTATTAATTATTATTACTTTAATAATTGTCATTATGAAGAATGCTTTTGCAGTATTTGTTAATTGTCATTTTGAATATTGTCATCAGCATCTATCCATCTTTACAGTGTGTCACCTTATTTTAAAATACCAAACATTCTTGCAGTTTTTCTTTTTCACATTCCTTCATTAATCGTTTCTTTCTTTTCCCAAACAAACGTATTACTTTTTAAACGAATAAAAAGTTCACGCATAACTTGTTGACACGTGGCGTATCTCTTTTATTTTTCTCTGTCTCTCTCTCTCCTATAACACAATTTTTTTATCTTCAGTAAATCTGTGCGAATTTTATTTGAAAATTCAAGTCGTTCAAAAATTGAAATAAGCTAATTTTATTCCCCACTTGTGAATATAAATTTTATTATTTCAATTTAACTTTTTCAAAATTGTTTTTTCATTAAAGGAAAATAATTTCATACTGTATTATATTTGTAATACTTTAGACAAAATATGTAAAACAACTTTTGTATATTTACAAAATGATTTAACTTTAAATCATTAAGATAATAAACTTAACATCATTGATCACTTGTTTATTTTTTGATTATAGCAGTTGTAAAATTAGTTCAAAGTTATTATCATTTGATACTAAATAATTAAAACTCACTCAGTACTAAATCATATTGTTTTGATTACAACTTGGAAATTTTTCATAATTAGAAAATTAAGACTTCATTTTTAATATTCATTCTTTTTGTTGTATATATTGTAGGAATAATTTTCTTGTAAAAGTGATAAAGAATATGTAAATATACAACTTTCATTTATGCTATATTTGATAGATTAGTGCTATAAATCGCTAGCTTTCTTAATTTATATAAATGAAGTAAATTGCGCAGAAAATGATGATACTAACATGGAAATGACGATGAAGAAGAAGAATTGTTGCCCATACACACACAGAAACACACACGCACAGAAGCACACACACACACACACACACACACACACACACACGCACACGCACACGCAGAAACATGCATTTACTCACAGAAACACATTCAGCAAAGGCGAGGGGAATCAAAATCAACGCAACCGATAACAACCCCCGAAAGTGCACCAAATCAAAATTATTGTCACTTACTCATTATCGTCACTATTAACTATCCTTTCCCATTATTATCATTATTATTGTTATCATTTATCAGCGTTTACTCATCCTTACTTACCTTAACAATATCCTGTAATAGTTGTTATCATCATTATTATTTTTCTTAGTTTTATTATCACTTTCTGTTATCTACTTTATTTCATTATCATTGATTGTTAAAAGTTTGTCAGAAATAATAATAATTGTGGTAATAATTACTGTTCATAATTTGCAATGACTATCATTATTATCGTTCCAACTATTGTTACTGTTAAAAATCAATGATATTATCGTAATCAGTAACTAATTGTTATAAAATGAATAGAAATGATTAGAACTTTTTTAATTTTCATATAAGTAATACAATAATTGTCATCTATCGTAACTGCTATCATTAGTCTTGTATTTGTCAGCATTTAGCTATCTTTATCATTGTTTTTACTAGTTTTTGATAATTTTTATTGCTATTATCGATGTTGCAAGCATTTTGCTGTCGCTTACATTACTTATCTTCATCTTATTCATTATCATCTTATTAAGCTAGTAATTACTGTTAATATTGTGATAAAAGTTAGCGGTATAATAATTATCATCATATTATCGTCATTGTCATTCAATAATTTCCAGTTCTTTCTCTATGCGAGAATGAAGAAAACATTTTGAATGTAAATTATCATCGCCACTATCATCACAATCATCATCATCATCATCATCATCAGCAGCAGCAGTAGCAATAGCAGTAGCAGTAGCAGTAGCAGTAGCAGTAGCAAGCAGGCCCGTCATCATTTTGCTTTGCCTTCTTCATCAGTGAAACGAACGCCTCTTCACAACTATCTATTCTTTAATCATTTTTATCTATTGATTGATTGATTAACTGATATCTTCACTGATACATGCAAGTTTGAACTGATTATTTCCTTCGAGAGTCTTGATCACAGCAATCTATCAGAACTTATTTTAGCTAAAGCTTTCTGTACACTTTCATAAATCTTTCATCCCTTCCGTATATTACAAAATAACAAATATTAGCGAATAAGTAAACAAAATATGAATCTCTGCGAACTTATCACATTAATTGCACTAAATAAATTTTGCTAACTGCCGAAAAAACCAAATGTTCAGTCAACAGTTGCATGAATAAGAGATTATTTAATCAGTACTAATTTCTGCAACATTCGCAACTAAAATAAACTTACTTACGTACTTACTTACGCACGCACTTCACTATTTACTATACTGAAATTTATGCTATGTGCTATTCAAACTATGCATACAGTAGTAATCAACAGCCATAAATTATCTACTAAAATAAAATTACTTACGTACGTATTTACTTACTTACTTACTTACTTACGCACTTAACCCTTCGTAAAATTTTCATTGATTTTATTAAATAAAAGTTAGCAATTCCATTCATTGCTTCTTGCATCTGTTTCACTTTATGTACTTGCACTATTTGCTATACTGAAATTGACTTTTGCCATCTCAATTTTCTTGCATTTCTGCAACATTTTTTCACCCCTTGCTTTTAACTTGCAGCATTAATAATAATAATAATAATAATCGTAATAATAATATATATTAATTATGATTAGCATCAACACTAAGTAATACAACCATGTCTGACCACTCTCTCAATTAGTAATATTAATTATTGTCAATAACATTAAATTTTATATCTGATTTGATTTCTATTGTAAATGCTAATGCTATCATTATTTTTACTATTACTAATTTTTTAAATAATAATCATAATATTATTATATTCTTATTCACGTCTTAATTATCTTAAATTTTCTCTGCTATGTGAAATCAATTATTATTATAGGCTACTACTATCTTCACTGCTGCTGTGATTACTAGCTAATTTTATTCCTTTCATTCTATAAGTAACATCAAATATTATTAAAATTATTAGTTATTCGCGTTATCAGATGTCATTTTGTCATTATCACTTGCCATAATTAAGTAATTGATGTTAGCAGTTATCTGTCGTACTGACTATCAACATTACTGGCTGCTATGATTACTGTTAGGCGTTGTTATTTTTATTTTTGCATAATTACTATTAAATTTGAATAATGTTGCAAGTGTTATCTTTTTGTTTATTAATTTTGTAAATATTACTAGTTGCAAGTGTAATATATTAATATTGTCATAATTAGTGCAACGAAAAGTGTAACAAAAATATTATTTTTGTATTTATTTTACTTTATATTTTTTTCTTGTGCAGAAATAATTTTATATCAAAAGTAGAAATAAACGGCTGAAAAAAAACTGCGAACATTTAACGGAGAAAGTATAAAACTTGTTTTGATATGCAAATTTGAATGTCAAGATGAGTTTGGACGAATTTCTTGCTTTCCTTCCACATTTATTTCTGCTATAAGTTTATGCTTAATTTTCTTTGCAGAAAAAATAGTGCAAGGATTTGTAGTTCATCAGAAATTGATTTAATAATTTTTGTTTGAATTTTCGCTTTTGTCTAGAAAGTAATAAACAGTATGCATGATCTTAAGAAGGTCAGAGTTCAGAGTTGAATCTACGTAAATGCGTATAAATAAAATGATTTTTTTCCTTTAATTTTAGGCAAAATCATAAAATATCTCTGATAACTTCATCTTATTTTTTTTCTATCGTAGACTACAATTTCTTTCGGTTTACCTGTAATTATTTCCGATCTTAAATTGTTATATAAAATTTTATAGCCTTAAATTTTTTATTTTTATTGCATTTGAGGTCTTTGATTTTCTCTCATGTTCTACAATATACATCAAGGTTTTCTCAAGTAATCTGACATGAACAACATTTGGGTTTAATTTTTGTTTGCTTTCAGAATCATGCTTATTGTTCACGTATGCAAGTAATTTTATCACTTGAACAAATATATTTAATCGCTGTTTAGCATTACACATAATATTAAAACTAAAAATACTTGTACTACTTTTTTTGAATGGTTAATAATTTTTATTTATTATTATTTGTCTAATGTTATTTAAGCATATTTTTATGACATACAAATAAAAGCGTCATTTTTTGCATATTATTTTCATGCAAAAGATTAAGAAAAATGAGAGATACATGCAAATTATATTATTTAATTGTATATCTATACAAACAACGTTTCAGTTGTACTTGAAAATTTTACGTATCACGTTGTCGTTGTATTATTTTCAGTTAAATTTTGATCTAATATTGATAAACAAGTCATTATAGCGATAATACTGAATAATTACTAACTACTTTCTAGTATTTTGATGTTTCAAATGGCATTATATGCACACTTTCACTAGCAAAGACTTCATATATAAGTAATTAATCATTTTATTTATGAATTGTATATATACTTTCTGTTGTTTAACATTTCAATAACAAATACTTGATGTATAATTAAGTACAAATTAGTTCAAATGTAAATACTAATTTACAGGTAATATTTGTTATGAGTAGATGTGAATTAAATGGACGAATGCATTTTTTGCCCAGAGCATCAACATCATCATCAACTTCAACCTCATCATCACTACTCTCATCATCGTCATCTCCATCACAA